AACACACATATGGTGATATGGTACATAAGAAAATACTTCATATTTACATAGAAGCAATAACCTGCCCCAAAATGTTGCCAGTACAATTCAATTCCAAAGAGTAAAGCTATCTACCACAACAGGGCAACACGAAAAAGCCAATAAAAAGTTGAAAACTCATTTTACTTTCCACCCTCAATCCTCAAAAAATATGCACTGCCGTTGACATCTAGGCCACTTGATTCCATAGGTGCTAAAGTGTTTGTTTTGTGTCCTGCAATTTGCCTTCCACCTTTTAGCAAGCTAGTGAATGTTAACAGGGTTCCTTTTTAATCCTGAGGATATTGTGTTGTACCAAAACTGTGGTTGGTCCAGTGTATTTGTGTTCATTTCCTAGCGGAGGACAAGTTTTCACCATTGTTATGCATATTTAAGGGGTGAGTGTTGTTTTCGAGTTTCCTTTATCCAATCAACCAGCACCCGAATTGCTAATTTGAGCCAAAAGTTTATTTTGTAAAAATAATGCACTTTTTCAAAATAAAGTGTCACTTTTTTCTAGAGTGCCAAGGCAAATTAATTAAGTAGTTATTTTCGTTATAGCTTCTTTGCTTCTAAACATGCTTACCATGATATTAAGGAGATTTTTAAATTTTGTAAAAAAAAAAAACTGAAAAAATAAACTCAAATATAAATGCAAATTGATGCTAAGAAATAAAAAATAAAAAAAACTTATAGCCCCGAAAAAACAGCGATACGAACTCTGAATCAATAGCGTTCCTATTGGGGTTAAAAGCCCTTGATGAGTATATGAAAATCCCAGAAGGAAAAACTCACATAGGTCAAAGATCGGATATATTATACAGCATAGTGCGGTTCAATAAATTTAGTATGTTTGTTTACTAGCTTTGGCTTTCTAATGATATGTATATAAAGTGTTGAAACCAGTTTTATTATATAATAAGTCCTCTTTATATCAATAGGTCCAAAAATAAATTTCGTGGAAAAAAGATCCGAATATCCGGTTCAAACATTTATAAAACCGGATCTTTCTTCATCGAAATTTATTTTTGGACCTATTGATATAAATGGACTTTGGTGCACTATTTACCTAAAATCGGACAAAAATAAATATGAAAGCTAAATCTGAAATTTAATACATACATTCTGCGAAATTTCGTGCAAATCGAAGGATACATAGGGACTTTGGTGCACTATTTACATAAAATCGGACGAAAATATATATGGGAACTATATTTTCGAGGCGATTTTCACGAAACTTAATACAAATCATTCTAGGCTTAATTCAGTACGTTGGTGCACCATTTTCTAAAAGTCGGACGAAAATATATTTGGAACTATATCTAAATCTGAACCGATTTTCACGAATTTTAACTCTCATCGTTCTAGAGTTAATTCAGTATGCTATGCCAAATTTCGTGCAGATCGAAGGATACATAGGGACTTAGGCGCACCATTTACATTAAATCGGATGAAAATATATATGGGAGCTATATCTAAATCTGAACCGATTTTCACGAAACTTAGCACACATCATTCTAGACTTAATTGAATACGATATGCTAAATTTCGTGCAAATCGAAAGATATTTAGGGACTTTGGCGCACGATTTGCCTTAAATCGGACGAAAATATATATGGGAGCTATATCTAAATCTGAACCGATTTTCAGGAAACTTAACACATATCATTCTAGACATATGTAATTACGCTGTGCCAAATTTCGTGCAGATCGAAAGATATGTAGGGGCATTGGTACGCCATTTACCTTAAATCGGATGAAAATATATATGGGAGCTATATCTAAATCTGGACCGATTTTCAGGAAACTTAACACATATCATTCTAGACATATGTAATTACGCTGTGCCAAATTTCGTGCAGATCGAAAGATATGTAGGGGCATTGGACCACCATTTACCTTAAATTGGACGAAAATATGTATGGGAGCTATATCAAAATCTGGACCGATTTTTCCCAATTTCAATAGGGTTTGTCCTTTGGCCAAATAAGTGACCAATGCCAAATTTCATCCAATTCGGATCATAAATGCGACCTGTACTTTGTTTACAATTAAACATGGACAGACAGGTCGGACGGACGGATATGCATAAATCGACTTAAAAAGTGATGCTATGCATATTCTAAAAATGAACCATGTGTCTATCTCGTTTCCTTTTGCCTGTTACAAACATATGCACAAACACATAATACCCTGTACCACAGTGTGGTGAAGGGTATAATTATGAGGCTTGAAAGCAAAAAGTGTTAAAAGTTGCCCCTCTCCCCTATTGTTCCTATATATAATGTACCTTGATTTAATATAAATGTCCGATGAAAAACACTACGGACTGGACTGTTGTATGTTTTTTTTTTGAGAGCGATGCATATTGCGATTGTCCTTTTCGACTTTATTCTTTTCCTTATTCAGTTTTATTATTATTTTTTACAATTAATCTACATTGCTTTTATTATCCCAATTACAAAACCACCTGCAGCTTATGTTTTTTCCCCTGTAACAACCCACTTAGTTTTTATTTCATTTTGTGTCTATTGTGACCTCTCACGATTCCCAATTAAAAAGTATGTCAATTAAAAAACACTGATAACAATAACAACAACAAAATCTTAACATTTTGTGTATCTCTCTCGTGTTGTCCTTTCATATTCGCCAGTAGATTAAGTCGGGCAAAAAACGGATTTTCATTAAAAAAAAAATAATCTCTCATTATTATTAATAACAATTAAAGTAATAATAAGCAAGGACCACAGAACATTTTTTGGTGAAATGATTATTGGAATAATTATAAAAAGAGAGATACAATTATACAAAAAAAGATAGATAGGGACAGACACAAAAATTAAGGGGTGAAAAACATGACAATTTACTTAACAAGGATGTGAGGATGGTACGCTCAAGGAGAAAAGAATGAACAATTAATCAGCAAAAATTAAGTCAAAAATTTATGAATGGGACTTCGTATTTATTTCGATTGCACAGTATTCTCCACATGTGGCATCAGTCATTCTTTGTTTTTACAGGAAACCTGGCTGCGAAAAAATGGTAAACTAAAAGGTGATAGCAGAAGTCCTACCAGGAATCATCGTAAAAAATGTACTACAATATATACAAGGTGCCCACTTAAAATACCTAAAATTGGTCGAGACATTTGAGTCGTTGAACTCCATTTTAGGTTCTGATAGAAATCACAAAGCCACAAACAACATTGATACCAATTACCAATATTTTTGAATCAAATCAAACCCAAACCTTTAAATATATCAATATAAGAAAAAATGTACTTAAGCCACGGTCAATATGAACGAAATTTGGCACAGCGTACTGGATTAGGTCTAGAATGATGTGTGTTAAGTTTCGTGAAAAACGGTTCAGATTTAGATGTAGCTCCCATATATATTTTCGTCCGATTTAATGTAAATGGTGCATCAAAGTCCTATATATTTTTCGATATGAACGAAATTTGGCACAGGGTAATGAATTAGGTCTAGAATGATGTGTGTTAAGTTTCGTGAAAAACGGTTCAAATTTTGATATAGCTCCCATATATATTTTCGTCCGATTATATGTAAATGGTGTACCAAAGTCCCTAAATATCTCTCGATTTGCATGAAATTTGGCAAAGCGTAATGAATTACGTATAGAATGATGTGTTTAAAGTTTCCTGAAAATCGGTTCAGATTTAGATGTAGCTCCCATATATATTTTCGTCCGATTTAAGGTAAATGGTGCATCGAAGTCCCTATATATTTCTCGATTTGCACGAAATTTGGCACAGCGTAACGAACTAGATCTAGAATGATGTGTGTTAAGTTTCCTGAAAATCGGTTTAGATTTAGATATAGCTCCCATATATATTTTCGTCCGATTTAATGTAAATGGTGCGCCAAAGTCCCGAAATATCTTTCGATCTGCACGAAATTTGACACAGTGTAATTACTTAGGTCTAGAACGATGTGTGTTAAGTTTCCTGAAAATCCCTCCAGATTTAGATATAGCTCCCATATATATTTTCATCCGATTTAAGGTAAATGGTGCGCCAAAGTCCCGAAATATCTTTCGATCTGCACGAAATTTGACACAGTGTAATTACTTAGGTCTAGAATTATGCGTGTTAAGTTTCCTGAAAATCGGTTAAGATTTAGATATATTTTCGTCCGATTTAAGTTTCCTGGTGATGTGTGTTAAGTTTCCTGGAAATCGGTCCAAATTTAGACATATTTTCGTCCGATTTAAGGTAAATGGTGTACCAATGCCCCTACATATCTTTCAATTTGCACGAAATTTGTCATAGCATAATAAATTACGTCTAGAATGATGTGTGTTAAGTTTCCCGGAAATCGGTCCAGATTTAGATATAGCTCCCATATATATTTTCGTCCGATTTAAGGTAAATGGTGCGCAAAAGTCCCTAAATATCTTTCGATTTGCACGAAGTTTGGCACAGCGTAATGAATTAGGTCTAGATTATGGATCCAATTTCATTTTAAAGGTCCTTTAAAAATGCTACGTCTGTTAGGATTTATCTGTTGAATATACCCAAAGTGGTGAAGGTTATCATATAGTCGGCCCCGTGCGACTTTACTTCTTTCCTTACTGTTTTTTTTCCTTTATTACACCTTATATTTTCCACCGTGTAAAAAAATCTACTTTAAGTAATTTCCCTTGAGTTCAAATAGTAATAACAGTAATTGACATTTACATAAAATACAAATATTTATGTTTTACAACATTTTCCAGGAATCTTAAAACTATAATTTTTTATATTGCAATCCTCTTCTGCTACCCCTATAAAACTAACAAACATTTATTTTGTTTATGTTACTCACTCTCTCTAATAACTCCTTGTGAAAAATTCAATTAAAATATTTTTCACTTTGTCACTGATTGCATTTGACTTACCACCATCCCTCCTCCCTCCACACCATCTCCTCAAAATGTTGTTGATCTACTTCATCATGTTCTTGTTTGATTCTTGTTTGCAGGTACGACGACGTCCCCAAGTACAACAACAACCAATGCAGCATAATTTACAAGAGACCCGTTCATACTGCACCAGTGAGCCACGTCTAAGTGAAACGGAAACACCGCCACAAAGGCGAAAACTATCACAGAGAAGGCCACAGCAGCACCGTAAGTAGAACACACACATACCTAAATACATACATATAGACAAGTTTATATATATATATATATATATATATATTTTATGTAAAATATGTAGAATATTTTATAGTAGTTGAAGATTTGCATTTTGTATTTTGGCACTGTTGAACAACTTATATTGGCTTCTATATCAAAATTGTCATTTTAAAATTGGATGGATTTTTAATGGAGAGAGGAGATATCAAAAGTAGCTTATAGCCAGTAATATTAAATTTAGATATTTTAATTAATACATAGTAGAATCTAAAGTTACCCTAATGAAAGTATACTACGTCTTTTAAATGTTGTAGCATTAATAAGAAACATATATTTCTAAAAGGTCAGTTGTCAAAGTATTATATTTTAAGAAAATTTCACGAATTGTTATTATGTATATTGTGGTCCAATTACGCAAAATGTCATTTGTCAAAGTACTTGTTTCATTATTTTCTACTACTTCGCTGAAATGGATTCCAAGAAATAAAATAATTACTTGAAGTAGTTTTTTTCTTAGGGGTAGAAGAAAATCCATTTCTTCTTAGCTGTCCTCTCTCATTTTTAAAAGAAGAAGAATACGAATTTAAGAAGATCTCTCCTGCAAAATTCAACAAAACCAATTTAATTTGATTCGAGATTTGTATGCTAAACATATGTTTGCCACACACATTCTAGCCGTGTTAGTATCAAGTTATTACACACATAATGTTTACATACGGATTGTCCCCAACAATTATGCACACACAAGCACACACACACTTACTTGGCTGACAGGAATCAAAAGACAAGTATTGAAATACATGAAATGACTTTGTTGGCCATTGTGTGATGGGCGTGCAAACACAAACACACGCCAAGACCTCAACGCACACATACGCACGCACACATCATTTATATGGAAATTTCTTGCACTTAATGGAGTAAACTATGGTGAACACAACTATTAAGACAAGGATGCAAGGATGAGACAATTTTAGATCAGAGTTGCCAATTTTTTAGTGGTGGATTTCAATCATTAAAATTGTGGCACCTTAATGAAGGATATCCTCTGATATTTAATAATAAGATACTTAGAAGACACAATTTTTAAGAAGAACATTGGGTTCCCCAAGGACCTTTTGGTACTCCATTAGAATGTCATGTGGTCCTCTTCTTTATATAGTTTTATTGGTCTACAATGCTATTTGGGTTTCCATATGAAAACCCTTCCTCCATTAACGCTCTTTTTCCAAACTCTAAAAGAAACTAGATATATAGGGACTTTGGATACCCTTCACCACTTTGGGTATTTTCAACAGATGAATCTTAACAGACGTCGCATTTTTAAAGGACCAGCAAAATGAAAATGGATCCATAAGCATGCCAGTCTCCAACCTATACTAATTTTTTTCAATTGGTCAGATAAAGAAGCCATATCTAAATCTGAACCGATTTCAACGATTTCAGGAAATTTAACACACATCATTCTAGACATAATATAATATATCTAAATATATCTAAATCTGAACCGATTTTCACCAAACTCAGAATTATATATACAGAACTTTCTGCCAAATTTCGTACAATCGGACGAAACTATATATGGGAGCTATATAAATCTGAACCGATTTTCATGAAACTCAGCACACGTCATTCTAGACTTAATTGAATACGATATGCTTAATTTCGTGCATATCGAAAGATATATAGGGACTTTGGTGGACCATTTACATTAAATCGGACGAAATATATATATGGGAGCTATATCTAAATCTGAACCGATTTTCAGGAAACTTAAAACACATCATTCCATACCTCATTCATTACGCTGTGCCAAATTTAGTGCAAATCGAAATATATATAGGGACTTTGGTGCACCATTTACATTAAATCGGACGAAAATATATATGGGAGCTATATCTAAATCTTAACCGATTTTTCCCAATTTCAATAGGGTTCGTCCTTGGGCCAAATAAGTTACCTATGCCAAATCTCATCCAAATCGGATCATAATTGCGACCTGTATTCCCAATTTCAATATGGTTCGTCCTTGGACCAAATAAGTGACCGGTAAAATTTCAAGTGACCTATGGACATACATGGACAGATGAACGGACAATTATAAATCGACTCAGAAAGTAATTCTATGCATATTCTCAAAAGGAACTATGGGTTTATAGGGTATGAAGGGTATATGAAAGGAAAGAAGAAAAAAAGAAGAAAGTAGCTAAAAGAGATGTAGGGATTAAGGGTCTTCGTGTTCAGGTTGGACTACCCCAGCCAATATAGATCTTTGAAGGTGTTATATTATGACAGGCTCCATATTAGAGTAGAAGATTAGACATGGTGGAAAATGAGCACCCCCTAATCTATGCCGTCTGTAGGCCAAAACTGGACAGCGACATAGAAAATGGCCGATCTTCTCCGCATCCTCCTCCTCGTCGCCGTCATGGGGTGGGATTCCCGTCAGTACTATTTGCTTTGTTTTGGTTCAACAGTGAGTTAGTTTTCGTTTTTTGTTTTTTTTTCTTTTTTTTTGCTGTCACAGTTGTCCAGACGGATCTTGACACATTGTACCTAGGTCCATTGTGCCATAATTCACTGGCACTGGCTCCAAGAACATCTGAATATTTCGAAATAGCATTCTTCCCATAAAATCGCAGAATCCTCGTAACCAGCATAGTCGGTACCTATTTGTTAGAGATTTTAGAGCTGATTTGCACTCAAATCAAATCAGAGCTGATTTGCACTCGAAATAACTTATTCGTCTGCCTCTTCATTTCCCATAAAATCGCAGCATCCTCGTACCCAGCATAGTCGGTAGCTATTAGTTAGAGATTTCAGAGCTGATTTGCACTCAAGGACGACCTCAGGCCTGAATATCCTGTCTTTAAGACCCGCTTGACTATCCACAAATATTGTCACTGGTTCAAAGATCTCTGTATCTGGACTTTTTAAAAACTCTGCTGTCTTCCAAATCGCGAAGATTTCAAGGTGAAATACACTGTCCCTATCCAACCTGTAAGTATAGTCAAATTTTAGCCTTTCACAGTAGACGCCAGCTCCAATGATTTCTTCCGTCTTGGAATCGTATGTATAAAAAAAGAAGACATTTCAGTGTAGGATTTCTACGGTTCCAGTCCTCAAATTTCAGGTCCGGTTTTCTACGTTGCTTCACTTTAATACCTAACTGTTACTGCAGTCTTAGAACGCTACGTGCGGTCTGACACTTAATGCTGAGACCTATAGGCCTTGATTTTAGCATTGCGTTCAGAGCAGCTTGGGGTGGGATCCTTGCGGCACCTTGTCTATTCTGCTGAATGTAGAGATCTGGTGAATGTTCCAGGTCTTTATTAGACACGAGGGCGTATATATCTTCCATCTGGGCTGATGGCTGAATTTACTTCCGTAGATTTAAGGAAAGTATGTCGTTTGTAGGTAACGACAATTTGATATGAATATTTCAAAAATTATGGTAGGAAATACATTTAGAGCTATTAAAATACAAAAAAAATGGGACTTTATATAGTGGGTTTCAAAACAATGACCTACAATGAAAACATTAACCAGTAAGGAAATTAGTAAAGTCGGACGGGGCAGACTATATGATACCCTTCACCACTTTGGGTATATTCAACAGATGAATCCTAACAGACGTCATATGTCATTCTGCAACCTATATTAGCTAGTCGAGATATGACGATCGGTATACTTAAAGGTGGGTCTAGGACCAATATTTCGCGGCGTTACAAACTTTTAGGGCTGTACAAAGCTATAATACCCTGACTAACATAGTTGTGTAGGGTATAAAAACTTAGAAGACAATTCTTAAGAAGAACATTGGGTTCCCCAAGGACCTTTTGGTACTCCATTAGAATGTCATGTGGTCCTCTTATTTATATAGTTTTATTGGTCTACAATACTATTTGGGTTTCCATATGAAAACCTCACATGTCATTCTGCAACCTATATTATTTTTTTCATTTGGTCAGATATAGAAGCTATATCTAAACTATATATGGGAGCTATATCTAAATCTAAACCGATTTTCATGAAACAGCACACATCATTCTAGACCTAATTCATTACACTGTGCCAAATTTCGTGCAAAACGAATGATGTATAGGGACTTTGGTGCACCAATTACCTTTAATAGGACGAAAATATATATGGGAGCTATATCTAAATCTGAACCGATTTTCATGAAACTTAGCACACACCATTCTATGATAAATTCAGAACTCTATGCCAAATTTTGTGCAAATCAAAAGATATATAGGGACTTTGGTGGACCATTTACATTAAATCGGACGAAAATATATATGGGAGCTATATCTAAATCTTATTGTCAGGAAACTTAACACACATCATTCTATAGTTCATTCATTACGCTGTGCCAAATTTCGTGCAAATCGAAAGATATATAGGGACTTTTGTGCACCATTTACATTAAATCGGACGAAAATATATATAGCAGCTATATCTAAATCTGAACCGATTTTTCCCAATTTCAATAGGGCTCATCCTTGGGCCAAATAAGTGACCTATGCCAAATTTCATCCAAATCGGATCACAAGTGCAAAAACACATGGACGGACGTACGGACAGATGGACGGACAGACGGACATGCGTAAATCGACTCAGAAATTGATTTTATGCATATTCTCAAAAGGAAACATGTGTCTATCTTGTTTCCTTTTGCCTGTTACAAACATATGCACACAGACATAATACCTTGTACCACAGTGTGGTGAAGGGTATAAAAAAAGAAGGGTACGTGACTAGCCGTACTTCACCTGGTATATACGCCATATCTTGATGAAACATCCTCCGCTAATGAAAGAACCTTTGTCGGTAGAATACGTGTAGAAGTTCTTCATGGACCTATATTACCTCGTCTACCTACTGTATATCTGCAGAATGTCTAGAGAAGACCTGTGGCAACACCGATTTTTTTTGCCGTAATCCACCAACATACTGTGCCATTTTAAATACACACACACAATAATATA